AAGCACTAACATTAGTTGTTTGAACGGTCATTTTGTTGAAATATTCATCGATGTTAGGATATTGCAGTTGGTGACCGGTAACTTATGTGACATTTGCAACATAAAGCCTGCATTTTAGGAAAAAATTAATAGATTAGGGTTGTCATAATTTAAGTTCCCATTACCTTGAAATGCTACATGCTTATTACACTAAAAAAAACCTTGAGCGAGAATTAGTTTTCACAAAAATAAGTGGATACAGCATCGGAACAAGTTATATGAGAATTGACCATGTAATATTAAAAAAGTATTTTTTTCCAGTATAAAAATTTTTTACTTGCAAATATTGTTTGCATACACACAAATAATATTTGCAACCAAAAAATGTTTGTATAAAAATATTTCCATTGAAATATTTTGTTTATATTAAGTTTTATATAGGGTTTCCTGAAATTGGCGCCATAGTTGTTTGTTTTCGTGTAAGGTTTTTTAAATTACATTTTTGTTTGGTATTTTAATATTTTAAAATTATATATTTATATACGCTAAAGAAGCATCGCTAGTAGCGCCACCACATGGCTGTTATCATCGTAACCAGAATTCAGCTTTTAATAAGCAGCTGTCAAACGCTTATGTTACAAACGAATGTTTTTGAGAATAAAGCCGGAAAATTAAAATCGAGGAAATCGTGGGTTAAGTTTTTACCGGTTTCCCAATAAACAGTGAAAATCCGAATGAAGAATTAAATTGCATACAGTTCCTGTAAATATAAATTGTACCTATTAGATACAATAAATACACATTTTAGTAATGATTTACGTAAAAATTATAAACATTTCAAATCAGTAAAAATCACCAATAAGTCGTCTAAATTCAAACAGCATTTAGCATTATTAAAAGCGTTGATTAAGAAAGTCTCCACTCAACAGTAAAATACCAAGAACTGGTATTATATTATGTATTATATATAATATTATGTTGCCATAAATTCGTAGGTATATTTTGTCGTTTAAAATGCAGTTGTCGGCGTGTTTTTAGGGACTTCACACTAGTTAGAGGAATGGTTTTTAAAAATTCGTAGGCACATTGTACCCACGTTTACCCACATTAACAAATAATTCCATTTATTTTGGTGAGTTCCAATTGGAGCTGTAAATTATATTGAAATTATCGAGTTTGCGACATTTTGTGATGTGCTATATTATAGGTTATGTACATTAATTTATTTACAGTGTCCTGTAATTTTACATTTTCTTCGCTTATTTTATGCTAAACGCGAAAGATGGAACCACTCTTGCTATGTAATTTCAATGTATTTTCATTATTGTACGGCGGTGTATAATAATTTGACTTTTGAACTGCGTATGCTTATAAAAAAAAGAATATTTTATTCTTTGTAACTTATTACTAAGATCCTGGGATTGGGACTTTTGGTATCGGATTTTTTACGGGACCCCGGGATTGACACCACTTTCGCAAAGCACAATAATTCACCATGATCCCACACACTAACGTAACTATATTAGAATAAAATCGTTGAGTTTTCTTAATCTATGATATAAGGAATAATAAATCGAAATCGAGTACTAAACCAAAGTTTTTTAGTTTTTACTTGCTACGCGAAACACAAATAACCTGCCTTTCTCTCTTTTGTGAAAAAACTGTCAGAAAATATATCAGCCATGTTAAATTCTTCTAGCTGTAGATGCCTTGATTCCATTTAGATGGGTGATATTTCGATTAGGAAGTAAACATCGTTGCCCAGTTTTCTAGGCTTGATTGCCTAATAACTCGAAAAATATATTGTGGTTTCTTTAAAACGTGCAATAAAAATTATATACAAAACTTCTGAAAATTATTATAATATTTAATTATTACAGGACTCCCACACCTCCGAAAACTCATAAAATTCCTAAAATTTGGTTTAAATCTTGAAAACTCCTAAAATTACCATCAATCTCCTAAAACTCCTAAAAATTAAATATAAATAAGCCCACCTAAATGCGTTCAATTAAGGTAGTTGTTGTGCTAAAAAAATTCTTGTTTAAAAAGTTATTTAAAAAATACGATATAAATTTTTAGGTTCTAGTTTATTAAATTCTTTTTATAATATATCACAACCTACATTTTTCTTAAAAAATAACAAAATATACCTAAAAAACAAAATCCATGTAGTAGCTCCTAGACTTCTACAAAATTGTCATTTTTAGCCATATTTCGTTTGTTTTCGATTAAAATATACCTAATAAATTGTCAGTACACGCCAAAATAAAAAAGTTTTTCCTCTATAATTTTTAAATTAGTGCGTTTTTTTTAACAAAAAAATTAGGAATTTTTTTTGAGAAAACCAGGGAGCCACTGGATGTCAATGACCTGTCCTATATATCATCATTGTTTTTACCTTTAAAAACAATCATACTATTCATCTAAGCAAAAAAGAAACAGATATGCGCACAGTGTATTATGTAAAATTAAGCAAACTTTTAAACTTGTACAAAATCGGTTGCCATTGTGGTTTCTCAACTTTGTGTGGATAATAACAGTTGAACATTTATTGTGATATTGTGGAACACCTAAAAAATAGCTACATGAGCATCAATCGACGTAAAAAGTGAAAGGTGAAATTTAAAATCGACGAGAAAACCACCTATAGGTAGGTATACCACCTATAGGTAGGTATACCTACCAAAAAATGCTGAGTATGCAAAACAAAAAACAATTATTAACAAAGTAATCAATGGTAACACAAATGTAAATTTTTAATGAATGTGAATTATAGCCCACTGTGCAAGCATATTTTGCGTCAGTTGTCATAGGTCAGGACTTACTTATAAAAATTTAAATGATTTTTTTTATTAAAAAAAATGGCACGAAAAACTTTCTTAATTTGGCGTGTACTATCTTCCCCTTAAATGATGACAACTTATTAGGTGACACCCTGTATTTCCCAGATATATACAAAAGTAGTAATTTTACCACTTTTAATTTTATTTAAAAAAACTCGATTTCGCTAAAAAAAATAGTCAATGTAACTAGAGATGCGACTTGAAAAAAACGGTCCGTTTTTTTTGTTTTTTTTCAAATGGTTCTTTTTCACATTTTAGTTTTTTTTTCAAGATTATTCCCATTTGCCTAATTTTTTATGTTTCCATAGACTAAAATTAGCCACTAAATGACAATTATTAAATGTAAATACAGTCTCGCGTTATGCACTCGCCACAACCACCGATTTGACCAATAAGGGCCGCGCTTGTTTTGATTTGGTCCTAAAAAAAGTAACTACATATAATATTTTTGATTCAGCGCTTGATTTTTCAAAAAACAATAGCAAATTCTTGTAGAACATTTCTTCATTGGTGGTCACAACATTCCGTGGACCACAAAAGAAATAAAAAAAATCGATTTTTTTATTACGGTATTCGTTACTTGTAATTAAGCGTTGCACGTTTTTCATCTAAAAATCTCAAAACTATAAACTTCAAGCTTGCTTTTTTTACGGCTCCAAACGACCATTTTTAACAAATATACAGCTATCCGAAAAATCGCAAAAAAAAATTTTATCCTTAATTTTTTGTATTAGTATAGAAGTTTTACATTGCTATTGGTTTTTAATGTGGAAACTACCAAATAATAATAAATCAGATTTTTTAGTCTTGGTCAAAATTTTCAATAATGAAAAATGTAAATATATTCTACATTTTACTCAAAATTTCATTTTGAAAAAAAAACAAAAAAAACCGTTTTTTTCTAGGTTTTTTTTCGTGTTTTTTTTTCACATCTAAAAAAAAAACGTTTTTTTACATCTCTAAATGAAACTTATTTGTACAAAAGAAGTGATAGGTATTTATTTATATTTTTGTTAAAAGGAATTATTTATTTTTTTATTATTTTTTAAGTACAGTTAAGAGTTGTTTTTATTTAAATACAAAAATTCATTTGCATACTTTATTTCTCCTAAAATTCTCCAAAAAACCTCCTAAATTCCTAAATAAAATTTGTAATGTAGCCGTGGGTAGGGTTGGGAAAATTTCACTTTTTGCTTGTACTTGAAATTTCACTTGAAATTTTCATGACATTTATGAAATTTATTAAAATTTCCTAAATTTCTGAAATTTCCTGAAATTTATGAAATTTATTGAAACTTTCAATAAATTTCAATCACTTTAAGTGTAATATATTAATATTGAAATAAGCCCACTCGGGGACCATGGCAAATTGCCTCTCTTACCTCCTACCCCTCTGTGGGCCCCTGACCACCAATAATATAAATAGTAAATACCTATGTTTACCACAAATTTCTTGAGATTTCCTTTTAAAATATTTTTAAATTACTAAAACTAAGATATATAGCACTTTTTGGTAAGGTAATGAGATTGTGCAACTTTCATTGTTTTATATTTATATATATTTATTATTTTTATAAATTTTAGTGAAATTTTACGAAAATTGAAGAAACTTCATCAAAATTTTATGAGCCAAAGGCATTTTTTATCCGTTTTTCGATGCAATTATAGCAAAAGTAAAAGTTTAAATTAATCATGACTTTTAAAAAAATTTTAAAGTCTGATTTAATTTACAAATTAAATTGGTAACTGAATTAAATTATTTAAATTAATTTATGCATATAAGTAACAATAATTACTTACAGCCTAACTAGACAAAAACGCCCAGACGCTTGATAACTCGTTCTTATATAAGACCAATATTGGTCGATTCGGAATCTGTTGTAAATTATTATTAAAAATTTATGCGAAATTTTCAGTAAATTGCGAAACTTTCAATGAAATTTCTGAAAGTTTCAGAGGCAATGTTGAAATTTTCGAATTGAAAATTTCATTTGAAATTTTTAAAAATTTCACTTTTCCAACTAAATGAAACTTTCAAAGTTGAAATTTTCATTTGAAAATTTCAACTGTCCCAACCCTAGCCGTGGGAGCCATAAAATTTTTATTTATTCCAAGGGTGGAAAAATGAATAAAATTTTTTATTTTGCTCGTAATAATTGTTTTTGGTGCTTGTAGATATCTGCGAACCTGTTCCGCACGCTGCCGCCGAGCGAGAATCCCGACTTCGATCCCGAAGAGGACGATCCGACGCTGGAGGCGAGCTGGCCGCACCTGCAGCTCGTCTACGAGTTCTTCCTGCGTTTCCTCGAATCGTCCGACTTCCAGCCGACGATCGGCAAGCGCGTCATCGACCAGAAGTTCGTGCTGCAGCTGCTCGAGCTGTTCGATTCGGAGGACCCGCGCGAACGGGACTTTCTCAAAACGGTGCTGCACCGCATCTACGGCAAGTTCCTCGGCCTCAGGGCATTCATCCGCAAACAGATCAACAACATTTTTCTTAGGTCAGTATTAGGTACCTACACTTTTAACGCCACATGCTTTCTTTTCTTTTAAAATAGAAACTATAAAAAATGTTTACAACCAAATAATCCTCTTGAAAACAAACAAATTTTTTGTTAAGAATCCGTTTAAAAAAAAATCGGGCTATCGACAATGGGGTAGTTAAATTTTTTCTGACCTATACTTTTTATGGTTTTATTCAAGGCGTTTTGTAATATTAATCATTTCTGTGAAATCAGAATTTCAATTAAGTTTACCGTTTTCGAGATATTTACAAAAAATATAAATTTTTATGACGTCACAAACCTCGCCATGTGACCAACATTCTAAGATTTCTATTGGTTGAAAATTACCCTGTTGTCAAGTTGTCTTGTTAATGATTTCATTCGGTTATGTCAGAAAATACCCGAAGGGGTTATGTACAAATACTGTCACTGTCAGTTGAGTGAAAGAGGGTCACCAAATTCATTAATAACCTATAGGTATATATATATATATAGATATATCTTCCTTATTACGAGGTATCATATTACTGTTTGATATTTTAGAGTCCAAGATATATCTAAAAGAATATAAAGAACTAGGCATTATACTAATGAAATGCATTTACGACAAAATATGATTATAATTTTAGGTACTTTATTTGTTTAAAAGCTCCAATGTTCAATGTAACCAACCATTCCACAAGATTCCTCTGCTTTGGAGTCCATAATTAATAAATCACTTATCTAATATCAATTACCGGAGCGATCCGGCCGGAACGGTAGTTCCGGCCAACTGGCCGGATCGGCCGGATTTAGTGGTACCGCCGGAATTCCGGTGCATCCCTAAATAGGTATATAAAAGACTATCGATAAACTATCGATAGTTTCGATATTTGAAACTATCAACATCGAAACTATCGATATTGATTTTTTCCCACTATCGCGAACACTAGTATTTTGTATGCGAAGTCTGCTCCTGTGTTAAATTTTTAGGTTAGATAACCAACAAAAAACAGTAATTTTGTTTAGGGCAACACTGTTTCCATTTGGTTTGCAGCACTGGTAACCGATTTAACCGATCATACAGCGTCGGTCGTTTCGGTAACGATTGATTAACCTATTTTTCAGGAACCGCGTTTCTTAACTACATAATTTTCAGGAATTTTTCATTTACGGGACACCTTAACCGAAACCAAACCAACCAAGTTGATTTACGGAACATACCCTAAATTTAAAAAAAACAACCCGAAAAAAAGAAACGTCAAAAAATCAATTCTTCTTCTTCTTCTTAACTAAAATTATAGATCAAGTGGTTTTAAAACTAAAATATTATAACGTGGCGCCATCTATCGTAAAAATCTTAAACTAAACACACTGGCAACCATAGAAAAAGCTGGCAACGTTGTCAATAGCCTAGTGACGTAATTAGGAGATTTTTTTTGTAAATATCTCGAAAACGGTAAACTCAATTGAAATTCCGATTTCACAGAAATGTTTAAAATTACAAAACGCCTTGAATAAAACCATAAAAAGTATAGGTCAGAAAAAATTTAACTACCCCATTACTATAGATAGAGTGCAATTTACTAATAATGGTTTTGGCTAACCAAGTATTTTGGGCAGTTACATTAAATAAATAAAAACTATAACTAATTAAAGCGTTTAAAAATGCTCTTGAGTATTTTTTAGCATTAATGGACTCTTTTAAAAGTGCTCGAGCATTTGCCATCTCTAAATTTATATAATACTCACATTTTGTGTTGGATAACAATTACCTAAAGAAATATTTCTATCTATCTATCTATTTGGTACTATGCTCCACACCACGTGACCACGTACGGAACGCAGCCTTTTGAAACTTTGGCATTTAAGGCTTTTTAGGTTATGTACCTGTCAAAGTATAGTCAACGAAAGAAATAATATGATGTTTAGGCGTTAAAAATGTATAAATCTTTATAACATTACAATAACAATGGATGGTTTAAGAATTTAAGAATATAAATACTGCATTTAATGAAATTCTAAAGTGTATGGTGTCAATTAAGTAATATTTTTGTGCATTTGGTCCAAATATCTGGTTTTCTCCATAAAATAATTTTAACTAAACATCATTTATTAAAAAAAATCTCTATTATGGAATAAGAATATCTGTTTTAAAGGTAGGTTAATATATTATAACAAAAATATCATTAATTTTGTAATTTTAAGGTTAGAAAAATTTATTTTGACCAAAATCAAGTATTTTGGATTATTTAAAAGAGTGTATAATATGTTATTTAAAAATGTGGTAGTTTTTCTTATCCAGCTTAAAGTGTACCGACATAAAGTTTTGTCAATACAAATAGTTAAAAAGCTTCGACTGAACTTGATCTTCATCGAAAAATCATTATAACTTTAAAAATTTTAATAAATTACATGTTATGGGAGTATTAAATATTTTCACATTGCAAGTTTCTCTAAAAATTGTTCGTTTTCTTATAATTTAACTTAAAGTAGGTATGCCGAGAGGTATGCACAAGTTTTGTCATTAGGAGTATAAAAGCTTCAATTTACTTTGAACCAAATTCAACAAATATTTAGTATACCTATATTTATTTATGACCATATTAACACTCTTCCAAATAATCCACTTTTTTATTTTGGTCCAAATAGATTTTTCTAACCTTAAAATATAAAATTAGATAATATTTTTTGTTCTAATACATTAACCTACCTTTGATACAGATATTCTTATTTCATAATTTTTTTTAATAAATGGTGTTTAGTTAAAACTATTTTATGGAGAAATGTATACCCAATGCACAAAAATATCACTTATATTGCACCTTACACTTTGGAATTTCATTAAATGCAGTATTTATATTACTAAATTCTTAAATAAACCATTGTTATTGTGATACTATAAAGATTTATTAACTTAAACATAAGCGGTAACACTGTAAATATTATTTCTTTCATTGGCTATACTTTGACAGATACATAACCTGAAAAGCCTAAATGCCAAATTTTCAAAAGACTGAGTTCCGTACGTGGTCACGTGGTGGGACTTTGAGGTGTGGAGCATAGTACTTCTGTAATTGAAATTCAAATTTTGAATACATTTTTTGTTTCCGTTATTCGTATCCGCTCTGGCGGCCAACATACTTGGCCACATAAATTATCGATTTTATCTAAATTTCATTGGCACCACATAACAAATTTTGACAAATACACTCTAGCAAGTTTATTGCGATAAACGAGTTAAAGAACTTTATAAACGTCAACGAATTTAACACATTTTTGAGTACCAAGAATTTTACTGCATTCCACTTCGCATGCATCGGGGTTCGTAATTTTAGACAAAAAGGCGAATAAATCTGGCGTTGTGATGTAGGGTAGAGTGGTGCAAGAGTGTTAAGTTATGTTATGATAATGTTTTTATGTAATACAATAAGAAAAAAGCTAGAAATTTTTTAAATGGTTATTTTGTTTACTGTCCTGTAAATAATCTTTGACCCAACCTACTTTTTTTACCTAGCTTTTATAATAACTAAGAAATAGACTGATTTGTCTAAGGTAAATCACTCAGTATATAAATGAAGAACAAAATTTCGAAAGTTAAAAATGTTTTTTTCTGTTTATCACAATGATAACAATTGCTAAATTTTGACACTTATTAACCACCTTACCATAAGCATTTTATGAATAACGGCTCTATGCTGTATTTTAATTTTTGCCCGCATTTCGCGCAACAGTCTTAATTGCAAACGCTAAGATAATTAAATTTTCAATTTGCACTGCTGTGTAATTGAAGAGCTAAGTGGATAATAAACAAATTTAATTAATATGCCCATTTAGACCTTTTAATTTTTTTACATACACCTACATTAGCATTAAAAATTTAAATAGATTTTGGATTTATTTTAAAAGGGTAACGTTCTTAAATATATCCCATTCAGATGGAAAACAAAGAAAAACAGTAATTATCCTTAAAAGAATTTGTATTGTTTTAGAAATATTTCAAACGTATTTTTAATAATACTGCTACTTTTATAATAGAATTTGTAGAAGTAAACAGTTTTGAAAAAAGTTAATTAAAAAACCTTTTCAAATTGTAAAAAAACTTGTTTTTTAGGTTTTAGAAAAAGAAAAAGCATAATTAAACGTTATAAAGAATTTTAAAAATACATGTTTGCTTAGACCACATTGTTGAAGTGAAACTTCTTTTGAACAATTTAATTAAATTCGAGCTTTTTTTAAATTTCATCGATAAGCATTATACATTATAAACAAATATTAAAAATATTCCCCAACACTAAAACAAAACAAAGTGCTTAAAGTACTTTCCTCCAACGATTTTGACATCTTCAGAAGCGAAGTTTAACTAAATTTAAATATCCCATATTTATGTATAAATGTGGCAGATTTAGCATTTAGATTTAGTTACACTTAGCTTCTGCCCTGCGCCCTTTATCGTACATGTTTCCATGACACTAAGTGACCTTTTAAATACACATTGACAAGTTGTGGCTTTATGGCGCTTTAGTCACGGGCTGAAGTTAGTTTTAAGTTAGTTGACAATTGTCAAATGTCATACAATCGTTAAAATAAAGTGCCTTCCTTCTAAAATAATACTAAATGTGAAAATTATTTTATTATCTCAATACAAAAATACAAAAGTATTAAATAGTTTCTCAACGCCAATATTTGAAAAGTTTATATAAACATTGTACTGACCTTTTAATTTCGCCGGCAGTAAACTATAACTTAAATTCGGGCACGGACTCTACTGTAAAGTCTTCATAAAACATTTTCTTTACTTTAACTGTGAAAAACTGTAAATTTTCAAGAAATACATTTCGATTTATAACCTTTATAAAATAAAAAAATGTGACATTTGACGGTGACACGCAGTTTCCCCTATTGTTTCATAGATGGCGCTCTATACAAATTTTTGATTTAAATCATTTTAAGATAATAATAAGTATTTGTCGTAGAAAAAGTATAGTATGCACCTCGCAAGCTCGCTCGTGCCTAAATTAAATTCGTGTATAAAATGGCGTTTATCAAACTTGATACATAGTATACTATTAAGCACTTAGTGTTTTGTTTTGGTGCTGGAGAATATTTCTAATATTTGTTTAACAAATCACCAAAGTTGTCCTTATACAAGTACTATACATTAGGTTATATTGTTTTATTTATTTGATTTATTAATATTATTTTTATCAATCACATCAGAAATTGTAACATTTGAATCGGCTTATGGTATAAGAAAAATAGATCTTTTTGTAAATTTAAAAAAAAATTAATATATTAAAAAATTGCCCTGGAATTTTTTAATTTTGAATTACTGTGCGAATTCGTTCTACCTTTAGCACTGGGGAAAACATGTTGAGTAAGAAAAATCGAATTAGGAAACATTTTATTTCAGGTAACTTTTCAAATATTGGCGTTGAGAAACTATTTAATACTTTTGTATTTTTGTATTGAGATAATAAAATAATTTTCACATTTAATATTATTTTACAAAAAAGGCACTTTATTTTAACGATTGTATGACATTTGACAACTTTCAACTAACTTAAAACTAACTTCAGCCCGTGACTAAAAACCTCTTGCTAACTTCAGCCCGTGACTAAAAACCTCTTTCTAACTTCAGCCCGTGACTAAAGCCACAACTTGTCAATGTGTATTTAAAAGGTCACTTAGTGTCATGGAAACATGTACGATAAAGGGCGTTTTAAAGGTGGGAGTAGAAAAATATATTTAAATTCTAAAAACAGTATTAAAAGTGCATCAATTACAATACTTCCCACTGGAAAGTTTCCAGGGTTTAAAATTTTAAATTAGTGAAAGCCTCTTAAAAGCTAAAATTGAATTGAAATTCGCTAAACCGCAATAAACGCATTTTTAGTTGCCAAATTTAATCTACACCCAATTTTTTAATGAAAATTATTTTTAGTGTAAAAAATAATATTTTTCTCTAACGGAAAATCCTTGACATAGTAACATAAGATGACATAAGATGAACGCAATAAATTATAATTATGCATGTTTATTTGCCTTAAACAGTTCTTGATAAAGTCCGAAAAAAGAGCGAGCATATTTTCACGGCGACTTTACAAATTTAGACATACAGGCAAAGTCCAACCATTTCATTCTCTCTCTGGCTAATTTAATTAATTAGCGAATCAATAATATCTAGATGAATTAAAAATTGTATTATGTAAAATGTTACGAGGGGAGGTATAAAAGTCACTCGTAAAATGTTTGTTCAAAAATGGAATTTTTTTAATCAGCAGAGTGCCTTTTATTTATACAAACAACATAATTTAAAAATGTTAATTTAAACTGAAAATAAATATCGACTTAAGCTTGATATAACTGTATTAAGAATCGTCACTGACATTTATACTTATTCATAGCATGTTTTTCTATTATTAAAGGCGAAAATCAACATTTGTATGTATAAAAATCAAGGCCTGTAGTTTCAAGAAATTATACTCCTTTTTCTTAATATTGTTTTAGCCCATCCTTGTATTTTAAGTTAATTGATAAAATATTTACTAGAGGCTGGTGTATATTTAACTCATTAACTTTTTCAACGGTCATTATTTGAGTTTGTTAATTACGATTTTCCCTTTACTGAAATTGTTTTTCTAAAACCGTCGCCCCATAAGTAATTCGATAATTCTGTTTAGTTTTGTGAAGTTTTCAGCAAGCTGTTTTATCAATTAAATCGTGAATCTCGCTGTTTGTCAACTATGCTTGTTTAGATTAAAAGTCAAAAGTTCCGTGAAAAAATGATGACGCTCTCGTAAATAACTAGATACGTGAAACTTGGATGTCGCAATAAATAATGAAACCTTACGGAATTTATTCTTTTGTCCCTTATTCGATTAGGGTTCGTATTGTGTTTGCGTGGTTACACAAAAAATGGAAAGGATAACAACTATTTATAGCTATATACAGGGGTTCTAACTTGTGCAATATCCTTGAAAATACCAGGGTAATAAATGTTCTAGTAATAACATTGACAATGTTACATTGTATCATATAAAATAGAAATAGTTTGATCCACGGCGTTCTTTATAGAGAACGTCGTGTTTGATCTTAAAAATCTCATTTTAAAATAACAAAACGTTGCTTGATTATTATTTTATTAAAAAAAAACATATTTTATAACTTATCCTATTATTATTTGGTAAGATAATTTACTTTTACAAATTATCTTAAAATATTAACAGATTTTTAAAAACTGTTGGCTTTTTTGGGAAAAATTGATTTTTTTTTTAAATATACACATTTGAAAAAAATAGCAATCAACAACTTAACATTATTTTAATTAAAATAGAACCCTTTATTACAAAAAATAAAAATAAAACTAATCATTGAATTAAATTTAAGAAAATAAACATAAACGTGACTGTTGTTTTTGTTGCAAAAAGGAGTCCATTAAAAATATCTAACTACAAAATGAATGGATAAAGTTAAATTACAAAATTATAATTTTATAAATCGAAGTGTTAAATAAAACTAAAGTTATGTTAATACAGCACCGAATATGTTTTTTGCGGCCCGGTAGAATATTATTACTAAATTAAAATAAAAGGAATAATTATTATAATCTTAATATTTTGCATATAATAATAAATTTTCAGAAAAATTGTCTTTTGCATTTTTTTGTGGCACCCTTTAAATAAAATTAAAAACAAAAATCAATTTAGAAAAAAAATCCGCTTTTCCCGGAAAAAAAATGTTTGTTTTCCGCCGGCTCAATTTTTCCGGAATCTTTAAAACCCTAGTCCGAACCATAGAAAATAACATAAAACGACGAAACATTTTTAAATGAAAGGGGAAAAGCACCAAAGCCAGTTTGAAATGTTTTCAATATCAAAATACAGATTGGCTTAACTATTAAATGTCAGCCAAGAAAATAGTTTATTAATTATGGTTTTGCTTTGTAATTAGTATTATTTAGTTAGGATCCCTTGAGATTGCATATTCATGTAATTTAGTGTGTAAACATTAGGGTGCTTCATTTTAGAGCGAATCGTAAATGACAATTTTGTAGGGAATTTTGTGCTCTACAATTTTGTCACAAATTTTTTTTCTGTATCACTTAAAGTTTAGCTTGTACAGCCACTAAAAGTGTCGAATTCTTAAAAATTCAGTTTCTGACGACTATAATAATACTATTAGAGTTACGTGAAATAGTGGATGTACAAGCTCAACTATAAGTGATACAGAAAAATATTTCTTAACAAATTTGAAGGGCACAAAAATCCCTACAAAATTGTTATTTACGTTTTTTATCTACAATCAATTAGGGTTGGGACAGTTGAAATTTTCAAATGAAAATTTAAACTTTGAAAGTTTCAAACTTGAAATATTTCATTTAGTTGGAAAAGTGAAATTTTTAAAAATTTCAAATGAAATTTTCAATTCGAAAATTTTAACATTGCCTGTGAAACTTTCAGAAATTTCATTGAAAGTTTCGCAATTTACTAAAAATTTCGCATAAATTTCACATGCGGCCTCCCCTGGGACCTTTAATAATAATTTACAACAGATTCCGAATCGACCAATAAGAACGAGTTATCAAGCGCCTGAGCGTTTTTGTTTAGTTCGGCTTGGATTTGAATACACTATAAGTAATTATTGTTACTTATATGCATAAATTAATTTAAATAATTTTATTCAGTTACCAATTTAATTTGTAAATTAAATCAGACTTTAAAATTTTTTTAAAAGTCATGATTAATTTAAACTTTTACTTTTGCTATAATTGTATCGGGAACCGGATAAAAAATGCCTTTGGCTCATAAAATTTTGATGAAGTTTCTTCAATTTTTGTAAAATTTCAGTAAAATATATAAAAATAATAAATATATATAAATATAAAACAATGAAAGTGGCACAATCTCATTAGCTTACCAAAAAGTGCTATATCTCTCTTAGTTTTAGTAATTTTAAAAATATTTTAAAAGGAAATCTTAAGAAATTTGTTGTAAACATAGGTATTTACTATTTATATTATTGGTGCAGGGGCCCACAGAGGGGTAGGAGGTAAAAGAGGCAATTTGCCATGGTCACCGAGAGGGCTTATTTCAATATTAATATATTACACTTAAAGTGATTGAAATTTATTGAAAGTTTCAATAAATTTCATGAAATTTCAGACATTTAGGAAATTTCCTAAATTTCATAAATGACGTAAAAATTTCAAGTGAAATTTCAAGTACAAGCAAAAAGTTAAATTTTCCCAACCCTACAATCAATACACACATTTTTGAAGATAATTTCATCCTGTATAAAGATTTTAGAACCGAAATTCGAAAAAAATATTCTTATTGTACGAGCGGAAGGAGAAAAGAATAAAAAATTGTTTTTAGTGGTTTTTAAAGGAAAATATTTAAAAATTGATTAGCAACGGCTTAAAATAAAGATTAAGAGCATTGCAATAGCTCAACATTTTTGTTTTCTGACCGGCTCAACTATAAGTGATACAGAAAAATATTTCTTAACAAATTTGAAGGGCACAAAATTCCCTACAAAATTGTTATTTACGTTTTTTATATACAATCAATACACACATTTTTGAAGATAATTTTATCCTGTATAAAGATTTTAGAACCGAAATTCGAAAAAAATATTCTTACTGTACGAGCGGAAGGAGAAAAGAATAAAAAATTGTTTTTAGTGGTTTTTAAAGGGAAATATTTAAAAATTGAATAGCAACGGCTTAAAATAAAGATTAAGAGCATTGTAATAGCTCAACATTTTTGTTTTCTGACCGGTTACAAAATTTTTAGGTGGGACTTTGAAAAAAAAATGTCGCTTTATAATGAAGCACCCTAGTAAACATGTTATATAAAAATGAAAAGCAAGTCTTCTGTTTTGCAATGTTAGATTCGTGTATGAGACTGAACACTTCAACGGCGTGGGCGAGCTACTGGAGATCCTCGGCTCGATAATAAACGGGTTCGCGTTGCCGCTGAAGGCCGAACACAAGCAGTTCCTCGTCAAGGTGCTGATCCCTTTGCACAAGGTCAAGTGCTTGTCGCTGTACCACGCGCAGCTCGCCTACTGCGTGGTGCAGTTCCTCGAGAAGGACCCGACCCTGACGGAGCCGGTGGTGCGCGGCCTGCTCAAGTACTGGCCGAAGACGTGCAGCCAGAAGGAGGTGATGTTCTTGGGCGAGATCGAGGAGGTGCTCGACGTGATCGAACCGTCGCAGTTCACCCGCATACAGGAACCGCTGTTCAGGCAGATCGCCAGATGCGTCTCTAGTCCGCATTTTCAGGTAAATATGAACAAAATGCTTAAAATAAGTCACGGTGGATTTTTAGGGTCATCAGTCAACTACGGTTTTTTTTCATAAATCGATTATATGCCTGTTATAGACAAAAAATACCAAAAATAAAAAAATCTTTCGGTTTGTTTCTTTTTTATTAAGAAAAATATAATATAAATGGGTCTAATTTTACTTTATTGGTTATTTTGCAAAAAGTATCAATTTTATCGAAATTCTGTTTTAACAGTGATATAGAATATTAAATTTTCTACAAAAAAGGTTATAAGCATTTTCTTTGTAATATACTTTAGGAGTAATATCAGTACAAAGTTATAAATTTTTTAAAAATCGAATTTGCTGGTTCTTGTAATTGGAATTACATTGACACATAAAAGTGGATAAAGTTTCTACATTATAAAGTAATTTTTTATATATTTTTTTATTGTAGAGTAAGGTGACCAACTATTCTGATTTAATCAGAACTATACTGTTTTTGAGGTCTTCATTCTGACTGGAAATCGAAGGTAGTAAAGGTTCTGATTTTCCTATTTTGGTTCTGGTCTGTTCTGATTTAGCTTACCATATTAATTTATTAGGTATACCTAATATCTAAAAATAACTAGGCTAAAAACACAAATTTCATAATAGTTAATTTATAAATATATATATGGGGAATTCCACGCCAAATCGACCACTTTTGACCCAACTTCTTTCGATTTGACTGAACTTTTAAAATTTTTTTCTACCCCACTAAAAAAGTTTCTCAGAATTTTTCCAATATATTTACCCAACCAAAAAAAAAGTTACGAATTTTCAAAAAAATTGACAATTTTCTTTTAGAATACACATAACTTTGTCAAAATTTGTCTAAATGGGGCGGTTTTTTTTGTTTTGAATGAACTTTTCAGAAAAAATACAAAAAAATTTGGGAAAAAAGACATTTTTTTGAAAAATTTTTAACAAGTTTTTGGTCGGGTGAAATAAACTAAAACATTCTAAGAAAAATTATTAGTGGGGTGAAAAAATATATAATTTTAACCAAATCGAAAGGGTCGGGTTCAAAAGTGGCCGATAGGACGTGGGACGACCCATATATAAAATAACTATTATGAAATTTGTGTTTTTAAACTCAATTGAGAGAAAATAAATAATAACTTAACACAGGTAGTTGCACAAAAAACAGGCAAAAATAGAGCAACACCTTTTTTCTTAAAAAAATTCGTACAGGCCACCGCTGTTCTGGTTTTCCCCTTTACACAGTTGGTCACCTTATTGTAGAGTGGAAATTAGAAAGGGCCTAAGTGCCAAAAATAAAGTTTTGAGATAATCGAAAAAAACTAAATAAAAGCCAGGTAAGCACCTGCATCCCTCGACATACTCGACCGGCTAGCCTCGGCTGTAAATTGTAATTTTGGCAATTAGAATTTTTCATAGGTTCCAAAGCATGTCACAGAGAACCTTTTTATTTAAAAAGCCTTTTCTAATTTCCTCTCTTCAATTATATATAATAATACTTAGAATTAATAATATTTAATTAAGTCGAAAAAACGTAATGTATAATACAATTTTAAAATAACTTTTCTTATTTTAAAAAGTAATTTAACTTAATTCTTTGGTTCTTACCACTTAAAATCTTGTAAAACCTTCTTTTCGGGTTTTGACGTTTACATTTTGCTTGGGTAACTATGATTAAAAATTAAATATCGCATCAAATTGTTTAAAAAGTAGTTTTTTTATTTCTTTTTACTGATTTTTTTTTAATTCTATGCTTCTTTTATCGATTTTTTCTTAGTCATAAAGTATTACAATCGAAAAAGAGATCAATTTTTAAAAACTTATCTACAGAAAGGCCGACCAACAAATTTTTTTTCCAAGTTAAATAAAAAAAATTAAGCAAAACATTTCTTTAGAAAAACTACGTTTAAAAATTACAGGAAAGCAAATATGCATGGTAATAACCTTTTTTGTAGAAAATTTTAAAACAGAATTTTGATAAAATTGATACTTGTTGCAAAATAACCAAAAAAGTAAAATTAGACCCATTTATATTATATTTTTCTTAATAAATAACAAAAAAACCGAGAGATTTTTTTTATTTTTGGTAATTTTTGTCTATCGATTGTTGAAAAAAAAACCGTGGTTGCCTGATGATCCGAAAATTGACCCTAAAAATCCACCGTGAAGTACTGCATAATTAATAATATATTTTTTGTTGTAGGTTGCAGAGCGGGCTCTGTACTTCTGGAACAACGAGTACATAATGTCGTTGATGGAGGAGAACAACCACGTGATCATGCCGATCATGTTCCCGGCCCTCTATCGCATATCCAAAGAACACTGGAACCAGACGATTGTCGCGCTGGTCTACAACGTGCTCAAGACGTTCATGGAAATGAACTCGAAACTGTTCGACGACCTTACTGTTAGTTATAAAGCTGAAAGACAAAAGTAAGTTGGAATATGTATAACCAAAGATTTTGTTAGGAGGTTCAGGCCCAATATAAGTTGCTATAAGAAAATGAAAAATTCTGGGTTGTAGTAGAGTCTACTTAAAAGACATTTACAAAGTTTTAGAAAGATTGGCCGTCTGGTTTTCGAGTAAAAAATTATTAAAGTTGCTAAGACTAAACTCTGTTATAAATTTTAACAAAAAATGTATATGGACTTTTCCAAATATACAAGAAAAGTGCATACAAGAAAAAAAAACATTCATTTCTTATTGTCATCTTATAAGATATGGGTTAAGCCCATGTCTTTAACTAATGCATGCATATATTTTAATTGAAAAATTAATTATTTTTTCTCTTATGCACTTATGCCTGTAGAAGTGCCAAATATTTTTTTGGTAATGTTCATCGCACAGTTTTGCAATAATAAACGATATTGTAATGTTGACTGTGTCCAACCAAAATTATCAATCTGTCATTTTCGTCTAGAAGATCCGGCAACACTGGATTACGAACACGCGTGATTATCTAGTGATATTTGGTTTGATTTATTTGGTGACTATCATTTCGTTATTTTATTATTCAAAAAAACGCTATTGTATTATTAATTATTATGTTTTTTAATAATTAAACAATCCTTCTACCTTCTATGGTTTTCTTATCTTTGCTTTCTGCTCTTCTCTTGGAACTTTCGCTGCATTCAACATATTGCATGTTTTCTGTTGCTTTATTTTTGGTTCCCATGCCTTTTTTTAATATTTTTTTCTTTGTAGTGGACTTCGTTTCACAGAACATAATACTTTACAACTCATTTTAAAATTTTAAATAACACTTCATTCAATGTAAATTAACAACTCGCAATCTTGTCACGTTTGAATCCTATTTTTTACGTTTCTTAATTCACGTTCTTGTGTTACAATTTAGTCGCTAATTAGTTAGAAACAATTAATTTTTTCACAAAAATAAGACAGTTTGCATTTCTAAATTTTTGTTTTTATGGATATTTACGAGTTTATTGAAAATTTTTTGGCAACAATGGCAAGAACCGTCCTTAAAATTTAATCAAAGTTTAAAAGGCTGTTAATCTCTTATTTTTAAGTTAAGTTGAAGTTTCTTAAAATATTTGGTTTTGGTTTTGTTAAGAAAGCTTTTTCTTAACAACTTAAAACTGACTGTATTTGCTTATAAGTAGAAATGTAACGTAAAAAAAGTCTGTTTTTTAAGTTTTTTTTCAGTTATTTATGTTTTTAAAATTAACTGTAATTATTGCTATTTCAGTCATGTGGTTGAACTTGTTGAAACTGCAAAATGTTTTTTCTAACTTTTTAGTAGGACTGTGTACTTTTATAAAAATCTAAAAGCATGAGAGTTGTTTCCTTATGCTTCTTAGTTTTTAGAAAAGTACACATTAACGTTTTTTTTGTAGTATTTTGCAGTATCAACGACGTTTCCAAATAAAAAGTTTATATACATAAATTAAGAAAAAAACACCAACTAAACATTTCTACCAAAATACCAAAATTATTAAGGCTGGCTAAAACTAAGAGATTTACCCAAACAAACAGCACAAGAGGAAAAGACAATTAAAGATTGCTCAAATCCAGAAACAAAATGGGAGAAAAAAGAGTTAAATATGTCCATAAACTCAGCAAAGCAATTTTAGATAATAAAGAATTAGCCGCTTTTTAGTCGCTAATTAGTTAGAAACAATTAATTTTGTCACAAAAATAAGACAGTTTGCATTTGGAAATTTTTATTTTTTGTTTTTATGGATATTTACGAGTTTATTGAAATTTTTTTGGCTACAATGGCAAGAACCGTCCTTAAAATTTAATCAAAGTTTAAAAGGCTGTTAACCTCTTATTTTTAAGTTAGGTTGAAGTTTCTTAAAATATTTGGTTTTGTTAAGAAAGCTTTTTCTTAACAACTTAAAACTGACCCTGTATTTGCTTATAAGTAGAAATGTAACGTAAAAAAACGTCTGTTTTTTTAAGTTTTTTTCAGTTAATTAACCGTAATTATTGCTATCAAAGTCATGTGGTTGAACTTGTTTACACTGCAAAATGGTCTTGTAACTTTTTAGGAGGAATGTGTACTTTTATAAAAATCTAAAAGCATGAGAGTTGTTTCTTTATGTTCTTGGTTTTTAGAAAAGTACACATTAACGTTTTTTTTGTCCTAAAGTTGCGACATTTTGTAGTATCAATGACGATATTTAATGTTAATAATTAACAATTAACAATTATTATTGTGTCATAATCGATAATTTTGTTTGTTTAAAGGGAAAAGAAGCGAGAAAAAGAGCGAGACGAGCTGTGGAAGAAGCTGGCCGAGCTCGAGCTGAACCATCAGAAGCCGGGTGGCGGCGCAAGCGGTGGCGGCCAGCAGCCCGCCACCAACAGTCCCCCCGTCGTCAAAAAGTGATACACTTCAAAAGCAACAACAAAAAATACTGCAACCACTAAGCCCTCCTTCACCGCCTCTGCGCCACGCTCATAGCCGCGCAGCGCAGCAGCCGCCGCCGAATCCCGCGCGTTTCGGCCGCCGCCTCTGTGCTTGGTCCCCGCCCCCTCACACTCTCTTTCCCGCCGCCGGCCTGCTCGCCCGTACGCCACCCGGTAAGTAGGGGCCTGCTTGCTGCCGCCGCAAAATAACCGACCGCCCCCAAATCTCGATCGGAGCATGCTTCTAAAACACCAAATATACTACCTACATACCTTCTTATAATACAAGTTAAAGAAATTACGGTTTTTTTTCTAATGCGTTCGGATCCGCCTCCAGCTGTGTTTGTTCGGGAATTATAGATTCTAATTTCGTTGGTTGCGATCGAATGAAATTCACTTGAAAGTGCGGATAATTTTTGCCGAGTTTTTGCCATTTTTATTGATTTGATTTTCATTAGTTCACATTGTGTGTGTGTTTATATTAAAAAGACTAAAGTTGCTGTAATGTAAAAATAACATACTCATTTAGGAAAAATAAATAAAAGAATCCAGTTCATTTTGTTCGTGTTTATCAATGCTCAGAATATATTTTTCCCACTTAATTGTGTTATAATTTAGTTATGACTGGAGGCCGCGCCGACAAATACATCTGTATGTCTGTCTCTCTGTCCCAAAATTATTCACTCACTGAATGTAGTTTTGTGCACGAGACCAGAACCTGTTTAATTTTTATTCGATTTTGTTTAAAAATCATGTTGTATAAACATTCTCATTGTAATTTTATTGATAGAACTAGTCTACTTTATTTCTTGTGTATACTAAAATTATTTTTACGATATGTATTGTTATGGCATTAATTAAAGTAATAGAATTGTATTAATCTTTCTTTTTTTGACTCACTTTTTATCATGTCATGTCATTCAAAATGCATGATAACATTATAACAAAGTTTTTTATATTTAATTTAGTCTTTCTTGCATAAAAAAGTATGTATAAATACTAGGGTGATTTGTTTTGAAAAAACATTAATTTTTTTCATTCCCTAAGCAAAATACTGATGTACGCTGAGGTGATTCAAAAAAATCAAATATATTTTTTTTACTATCGACGCTAAAAAATAGTTTTTCATTTCTTTTTTAGTCCCTTATAAAACAGACCATACTTCATTATTAATCAATCGTTTAATCAAATCTTTATACACTGCGCGTCAAAATGAACGCATAATAAAAACAATCCAACTTTAAAACGCCTTTACCAATCTTTATAAAATTTTGGATAAAAATAATTTAACTTATATCAGTTTACGTGTTCCAGGGTTTTTCGAGAAAATATCCTTAAAGCCCTTTTATTTAATAATAAAAAACGCTCGAAAAAAAACTTTTATAGGGAATTTTTTTTAAGTAAATAAAAAATATGCTGCGAAAGACCGTATTTTTGTTAGTATACCCTGAAAATGTTGTACAAATCAAACGAACAGTAACGAAAATACAGCGCTTCAAAGTCGTCAAAAATGACCACTTTTCAGCAAAATAATCAAAAAGGGTCATTTTTACCGACTTTGAAGCACTGTATCTTCGTTACTGTTCTTTTGATTTGTACAAAATTTTCAGGGTATACTTACAAAAATTCGGTTTTTAACAGCATATTTTTTATTTACTTAAAAAAAATTCCCTAAAAGTTATTTTTCGAACGTTTTTTTTCAAACGTTTTTTTTTAATAATAATAATATTATTATTTGTATTATTTATTTTTAATAAATTCTTTAAACTTTGATCTTGAATATCTTTTAAATGGTTAGAGTAATCGCTTAAACGATTAATTAATAATAAAATATGGTCTTTTTTTAAAAGAGACTAAAGAAAAAAAGGAAAACTGATGAGGATCTTCCTATTAATATAAAGAGCTCAAATTTGGTGAGCACTTTCTAGAGGTGCCTAAGAACCAATTTTTCAGTGTCGGAAGTAAAAAATAAATATTCGTTTTTTTTAAATCACCCTAATGTACATATTGAGAAAAAAATTCCTTTAAAGTTTCAGCCCTTAATCTTACTCCTAAGTGCTTTTATTTTGATGTTTTCCCATTGAAATAAGGATTTTTTTTAAATTCCCAATAGCGTGCGATTTGATTGGATACTCTTTAAAGTACTTTCAACAATTTTACCACAATTAATATGTTTAGACCTGTTTTAATAAAAATCAGTATACTTGTATTTTACGGCAAAACGGTTAAAGCTCCAGGTAAAAAGTTAATAAGATTCAATTTCCCATAAAAAAGGTACTTTGCAATAATGCAATAAAATGTATAATTTAAAAGATATAGAGCACCTAATAAATTTTAGAGTCAAATATTGATAAACTAATTAGTCCTATGATGTTTTACGACACAAAGGTTAAAGGTACAGGTAAAAAGCAAAAAATACTTTTATATGAAATTTAATTTCATTCAAAAATAGTTTTATGCCTTAATGCAATACAATGTATAGTTTAGAAGATATAGAACATTTAATAAATTTTTATAAAGTAATTAGTTTTATCAAAATTTGTCAGTTTAAATAAATGCTCTATATCTTTTAAACTTTACATTTTATCGCATTAAGGCATACAACCATTTTTGTAGGAAATTAAATTTTTTTATGTTAAATGTTTTACTTTTAGCTAAAACTTTAACTGCTTTGCAGTAAAAGACAATAAATACTGTTTTTTTTTAATTAAAAATATGACTGGTGACGTATACAGGTCGAAATTATAGGTTGTATAAAAATTGTTGCAAGTACTTTTAAAGAGCATCTAATTATGTACAAATCGCACCTATGTTATTTTAATGCGAAAACTTTAAAATCAAAATAAAACTACTTAGGAGTAAGATTAAGGGCTGAAACTTTAAGGGCATTATTTTCCAACAAAAAATAAATGCTCCTTCAAAGCTTATCACCTTAATAGATACAAAAGGATAGTCCAAAATAAACCTTGACATAAAACCCCTGTCTTCAGACTATACAGAAACTCCCTGTTAAAACATGGATTGATTTTTTCAGGTTGGTCATTTTTTAATATAGTCTGATCACAACAAAAATAAAAATAAATTTTTCCACACAAGAAAATTTTAACAGTTATTCTCTCTAATTCTGCTAAAAGAAAAAAAACTGAAAAACTAAATTTTCTTTATAATGGTGTAGTGACATAATTATTGGAAAATAACGCAAGACAGACAGACCCCATAGGAGTGCAGCAAATTGGGAGTGTACAATTTAAAATAATTGTGTATTAATTATACGACGGTGAACTAAAAAGACTATATATTAATTAATAAATATGTGCTATAGTATATCTGAAAACATGTATGTATATAGCTATTATGCCACTGTAGTTGACTTTGTGGCTTTATTTTTAATTGGAGATGAGACTTTTGTTAAAACAATACTTTGCCTAATCGACATGTCTTAAATAGTGCCGCAAAGGGAATAATTTCGTTGCTATTCTATTACACTTTATACCAAGATTCTTTTACAAGGTGTAATATCATGAAAACTTTTTTAGATTTTGCTACTCCAATTATGAATGAAAAATAATGGTTTAAAATAATTTTGTATGTGCATGGGTAGGTATGTGAGTTTGAATGAAAAATTACTGTAATAAATTAAATGTACAGAAAGGCTGTATAACTTGTACAATATAGTTTTTATCTAATATTATAAACTAGCTTATTTTAGTTATACTCATGTTTAAATGATTACGGATTGTTGTTGTATTATTCAACTAAATTTTTAACATTATTAAATTTTTTATTTTAGTTTCCTCGTTTTTCTTAATTGTTACCTTAACACTATATTATATTTTTTGTTTTTTCGCTTTAATTTTTTTAAGCATAGATATATTTAATTAATAAAATGTTCTAGTGGTAGATTGTATTGTGAAAATCTTTTCTACGTCCCTTTTAGCTGTGTTTAAAATTCTTACAATTTATACAGCCAAAATATTTCTTATGGTGCCACTTCACTACCAAATACTTTTATATAGTAGAAGCACTATTATGTTCACTTAGGATGAAGCTTTATATAAGGAAAATATATAGCAAAATTGTTAATTTGTCAACAAAACTCGTTAAAGGAACTTTTGAGGAAATTTGCCAAAAATACAAATTCTATATTTTGGCTTCATACGAAATTATTGCAGATTGGACAAATTGACTTTAGAGTTCTTAAATTGGAATAGATTTTATTCATAGAGCTAGTCTACTATTATTTCTGTATACTCTTGAGAAGGTTTTTTTTAACTTTATGTGTTATAGATAGTAGTAAGTCGGAATCTATTGTGTAACACTAATTATAACTTTTAGGATTCTTGTCACACTAGATTCGTGTTTTTATTTTTTATATAGTTGTGTTTAGCAATACAAGTGCAACTGAGAAAATGAAGCTTATGTGTTGAACAATTAATTGTAGTTGTAAAAAGACATTGTGATTTTTATGTTTGTGATGAGAGGTGTGATATTATAGGAAATTCCAATTGTAATGTAAAAATATATAAATGTTGATTAGCTCTGTGAATATTTGTAAAGGTCATTTTTCTGGAAAATTTCTGCTTTCTTTCAAAACTTCATGTCATTACATATGAGATTTTTCTAAATGTTAGGCCAAAAATAGTTGCCTTTTATAAAGGTTTTGCAAGTGTCATTTTTATACCTGATTTTACGATTTCTACTTAAAATGACCTTTTTGCTACGCCATAAAAATTAGGGCTATACATATAATATAATATATATTATTGCCCAACCCTCATTAGAATGTAATATATAACTAAATCACTATAAAACTTGTAGATATATGAAAATATATTGTTAAATTTATATTGTTTTTCTCATGATTTTACTATTGTATCCTTTTTTGAAATGGTATTGTGAAAAGAATATTTTAAACGCACATTTTGTTTTCTTATTGTTTGTTATTGCAGCCGTGAAATTCGTTTCCTATACCATTTCAAAATAAGAAAAACAGTTTTCCGTTACCAAATAATGTGCGTGTATGAAAAATGAAGACATACAAGTTTTACCAAACTCTTTTTTTGGGACCTAGTATCTGCAGTGTTAATGGAGCACTAACTAATGTGCGAAATAAATATTTTCATTTTGAGCCTTTTATTTTATTTTGAATATTCAAGTTCACAGCACCTGGTAAGTAGAACATTAGACTATAATATCGTAGACCATAAACACAATGGCATGCATGGAAAATACTCTGATAAATGTCATATTGAATCCCCTAAAAAATGAAGATAACTTTTCTTCTCTGTATACTTTCTGCACTGAATCAACTATGCCATGATAATAAGGGTTTTGTATATTATCTGCCTGAATTTTTGTCTTTATCACGTCGATAGGCAACACGCTATTTGTAGATACAATACCTTAAAAAAATTAAATGACATTTATGGAATATTTTGTATAAAAAATATTAGATTTTTTAAAATTTTTTGTTTGGTAAAAATTTTAAAAAATTACAAAGCTAGTAAACTAAAGTCTAATCAAATAGTAATTTATAAATTTTGCCAAAGTCAAAATTTTTGAAGTGAGCCCGCGATTATTTATGTAATTATAAAAATTTTAAAAAGGCATAGGGATATTAAGTAGGTGCCAATGCAACAATAATTCACCCAAAAGTTTTGAAAACATTTCAGTTATTATTTTTATAATTAAATATTGCGGCGATATAACTATTTATATTTATTTAAAAAAATAAATACAATAGACTAATAAAAATATATTTATAACTTTTTTGTAAACAAATGCAATTTTCAACAAGTAAATCAAATTCAATAAACAATACCATATAATAAACAATATCATAGTAAATATAAATAACACAAAATTCGACTACTTAATTTCCCCAATTAAATTAAAGAAAATAAAAAGTAAGGTAAAAAATTCAGACAAATTAAATTACCAGCAAATCCCCCAGCAAACAAGTCCTTTAGCCTAGTTGGCATATCCCAATTTTCAAATGTTGTAAAACGAAGAGTTTCATAAGTTAAAGTATATATTCCACTTGTTGGAACGTCCCTGTGGAAAAATGAAGAGTTACATATAAGTAAAAGTAACAAATGTATTTATTTAGTTATAGGTATAAAGGTAAAAATTGTAACTGTTGGTATTAGGAATCTTATAATATGTTTTCTATAATATCTATATTAATTTATTTAATAAAAAAATGTATGCAACATTTATAAACAAAAATATTACATTTAGCATATGTTCCATATTAGTGTAATTATTATTTATTATACCTAATAAATGTGATAAGCATTCCCTTGTAAAGTCCACGTATTCCATTACGTTTGTAAATTACACGAAGAGTTTGAAGTGTAGTCCTTGATATTTGTTTTTTCTGATTTGCTTGTTGTTTAATTTTGACCAACTCCGCAGGACAAGTTAAAAATACTTGAATCAAGCCTGAGAAGCATCCTATAAACCAAATATTAATTCCGTATTCTCCCTCAAAATAAATAACTACCAGCTGCAAAAACTTTGTACGAATTTTTTTTTTTGCGTACGTTTTCAGGTTCCAAAAAATGCATCGTATTTCCGTAAACTCCAAAGAATACAGAATTTGCTGGCCCAATTACAGTCATGGGAGCCAAAATCCCACTATAAAACCCTCTTATTCCATTTTTCTTGTAAATATCTTTAATAACTGAGCCTATTGATTGACCATAATTTTGCTGAACAACTTTAATTGTATCAAAGGGGTACGCACAAGCCAGTCCAATCATTCCTATTCAAACAAGATAAGTATTAAACTATCATATTTAAGTAATATTTATAACAATTAAACAATCATTTTTAAAGGGGTAAGAAGCAAAATGGTAAAAGTGCTTTTTAGCATGAAAATAATTTAATTTTTCTTATATTCGACAAAGAAGCCCGTAATTACAAAAAAAAATAAAAAACGCTCAGTATAATTTTGAACTCCCCCCTTAATAAACATAGTTTGTAGGTAGGCAACTCAGTTTACTCGTACCGCGCATGACAAAACCCATTTAAAATAAAATGTCATGAAGAGGAATTTGTAAACAATGAAATCAGTGCCTTATTCAAAGAACAAAACCTATTAAAGTAATTTATATTAGAAGCAAAGAAAATAAAATGTACGTATAAAATGGGACATTGTTTACCTCCAATCCATCCCGCCACAAATTCGATAATCATAACTGCTTTTGGAATATTATGGTTCTAAATACATTAATTTTTATACGTGAATTTTGAAAGGAATAATTTACTTTGCCAATTTTTACACTTTCAATGAATTTGAATGCTGAATGTTTTTTGACAAGACTTATTTGTTTGAACAATGCTGTCACGAAAGAATAAAGACCTTCGAACAATCAAGGAAGGAGTTGTGGGCAAATATGTAAAGAAAGACACTCCACCAGAAATACCCAGTAAGTATATAAACATCATTTTTAACTTTATCCACAATCCTATTAAAACATAAATTTATAGGTTATAGGGTGTTAGGTATATACTTCTAAGGGTATATACTACCGTAACTAACAGGTGGTAATGTGTCATGTCAAAGAAGCCTGTTGTAATATTCTGTCCCAAAGAATTCTAAGCACTTAAATATAGTTATTATACTATTATTCCTAACATCCTGTATATTTGAGCATTTCTTATATTGTTATTTTTAGTTATTAACGTTTGGACAACTGAACCAAAGAAACGACTCTCAAACCAAAGTAGATCGTCTTTACCTCTTCAATTTCCTGTTACAAGAGCTTCAAACCAGCCAAGTAATACAGTACAAAAGTTTGGAAATCAAAAGACCACTATCAGTGATGTAGGCTTGGGGGCTCACGAGGGGAAATATACTCCCAGTGCTTCTGTTCCTGACTTGGCCACAAGGTAAATACAAAAATTAATCCCTTACAACATTTTCAGAGAGTTTTAATGATAGTTTAAAATACTGCCATTGTTTTGGTTAAGATTGCAATAAATTAAGGATTTTAATTATCTTTTAAATTTAATTCTTTTAATTATTTTATTATTGTAATGTAATATATGGTATATACCCTGATATCTGTTAATACCCGTACCACAAATGAATTATTATTATGATTATTATTTAATCTTAATGTAAAAGATAACATTGGTATGTAATTTTATCTTGTTGAAAAATTTATCATTTAAATTTCCTGTAAAATTTTTAATTATTTTGCTAAATAGGTACACTAGTTTTAAAAATTTATAATATTTAATATATGTATACTATATTAATATTTCATTTTTACTAGTATTTTTAATAAAGATATAGCTATTTAAGCAGACCTTGTGTCTGTATTTAACTATTTAAAAATTTATCTTATGAAAATTAAATTAATGAGTTTAGAAACATTTAATTTGAGAACTTCTGATTCATATATATCATCATATTTATTTTAATTTTCTATATCTTTAAAATAAAAAATACTTTGGAATTTAATTTTTAGACAAGGAAAGTGGTCATTAATTTCTTATGTCTATGATTTAAGTACAAATACAAATCTATTTTATTGTTTTATTTCACTAAAATAATATACATTATTTGAAGACCTAGCTTATATCTGGAAAAAAACCTTTACGCTATTTTTTAAACTTGAAAATTGGTTTTTAATTTTTTGACAGTTTCCTAGTTACTAAACGTTATTTTTTTTATTGAAAACCGATTTTAAAAACTAAAAATGGCGTATAACATTTTTTTCTCAAAACACTTAACAACTTTTTTCCCCTATAAAAATTAATTAGTCAAAAATGACTAATTACTACAGTTATTAGTGGCTGCTTTTTCACGTATACCATACCACGATATAATAGCCAATTCTTGTGTAAAATTGTCCCCAGAGTTCGAAAATACTGTCAAAAATTATAAAAGTAGAGCAGTTTTTGAGATATAGTCAATTCCATATTATATGGAAAATTGACTATATCTCAAAAACTGTTTTACTTTTATAACTTTTGACAACCTTTCCTAGTTACTAAACGTTATTTTTTTTATTGAAAACCGAATTTAAAAATTAAAAATGGCCTATAACATTTTTTTCTCAAAACACTTAACAACTTTTTTCCCCTATAAAAATTAATTAGTCAAAAATGACTAATTACTACAGTTATTAGTGGCTGCTTTTTCACGTATACCATACCACGATATAATAGCCAATTCTTGTGTAAAATTGTCCCCAGAGTTCGAAAATACTGTTAAAAATGATAAAAGTAGAGCAGTTTTTGAGATATAGTCAATTCCATATTATATGGAAAATTGACTATATCTCAAAAACTGTTTTACTTTTATAACTTTTGACAACCTTTTCGAAATATGCAGACAATTTTACATAAGAACTGGCTATAGCCATATGGCTATATAATTATATCAGGGATACCATGCTATCCCATGGTATACCATAGTATAAGTGAAAAAGCAGCCACTTATAACTGTAGTAATTAGTCATTTTTGACTATTTCATTTTTAGAGAGAAGGATAAAAATAGATATTTGCAGTTTTTGTATGTTATTTATTTATTTTTATTAAGATGTAGCGAGTACCGCTCTGGATATCGGAGTGATGACTCATCGCCGGTTAGTCATCGCCGATGAGTCATCGCCGGTGACTCAGCGCTCGAACAATCGAGAGTGTGGAGCTCGCTGGAATGTTCCAGAAGACCTTGGCGCTGAATATATAAGAAACGGAGCAGCACACGGCAGTCAGTTAAGTTTTAGTACGCGCGTCGAAATAAATAAATATAAGTGCAAATAAATAGACTCTTGAACTGTAGTGATATATAAATAATTAGTAGTTAAGTGTTTAGTTAGTTTTATAGTGTTTTAAGTGTAGTTAAGTTATTAAATAAATAGTTTAGTTCATTAATTAACCAGTGCGTGTTTTAATTCACACTACGAACAGTTAAAACGTTACATTGGTGTCAGAAGTGGGATGCATTCAGACCAAGGCAGGAACTTTGAATCTATACTGTTCCAGAATGTCTGTAAAATTCTTAACATTCGGAAGACGAGGACGACTGCATTACATCCGCAGTCTGATGGAATGGTAGAACGAATGAATCGAACGATAAACCGGTACCTGTCCAAGGTAGTCTCTGATCACCAAAGAGACTGGGACCGCTTCCTTCATCTGTTCCTGTTGGCGTACCGTTCTTCTATCCACGATACAACCGGCCAGACACCCGCTAGCATTGTTATGGGGCGTGAACTTCGTCTACCTTGTGACCTGAGGTTTGGTTGCCTACCAGGGGATGATATTGCTGGAGAAGATTACGTCAACAATTTACGTAGGAAAATGAACGACATTCACAGCCGAGTTCGTTTAAACATCCAGAGCGCCAGTGATAGAATGAAAGAGGCATACGACATCAAGGCGGAAAATGGAGGATTTCAACCTGGAGACCTAGTTTGGTTATACAACCCTCAGCGCCGTCGTGGTTATTCACCGAAGCTGCAGACTTCTTGGGAAGGACCATACGAAGTCATGGATCGCATAAATGACATCATCTACAGGATCAGGAAACAACCAAGAGGAAAGCCGAAAGTGATCCATTTCAACCGATTGGCCCCTTACGCTGGAAACAATGCTCAAATAGACGATGCTAGAGTAAGGAGAGTTAATCCGCCGGAAGACGACTTGCCTTTTGAAGACTTCATGTATTTATATTCGAGCGGTAAAAAAGCTCGGTATGGTGTCACTCGAGAAGAGCAAAAAGATCTGTTCACGGTTTCGGCCGATTACTCCCTGGCTCACTGTGTTGCGGAAGACCTTAGGATGTCCAGGGGAATAGCGGTTGTCTTTAAAAACAAGTTTGGACGGGTCGACGAGCTACGAAGGCAGAGTCCCAAAGTTGGAGAGGTGCTTGAAATGGTGGATAATGAGCAGATAGGTAACCGAAGTATCTTCTATCTGGTAACGAAGCAACTCTCCAATCAGAAGCCAAATTACCGTGACGTATGGAATGCCTTAAATAAATTGAGGGATATCCTTTTGTCCAAGGACATCATGAACCTGGCGATACCGAAGATTGCTTGTGGACTTGACGGCTTAGACTGGAGAATAATTAGAAGTATGGTGGAAGTTATCTTCAGATTTAGTGGCATACACATTCTTGTCTGTTGCCACAACCCTAAAAGAACATCCGAAAGGAAGACCGTAGACTGCTACTTCTATAGGACGTCACAATGCAAGTTTGGATCTCTATGCAAATATCGCCATGGAACTGAGGACCATTTTCGGGACGAAAATGTTTTAAGACGGGGGCAATGTAGCGAGTACCGCTCTGGATATCGGAGTGATGACTCATCGCCGGTTAGTCATCGCCGATGAGTCATCGCCGGTGACTCAGCGCTCGAACAATCGAGAGTGTGGAGCTCGCTGGAATGTTCCAGAAGACCTTGGCGCTGAATATATAAGAAACGGAGCAGCACACGGCAGTCAGTTAAGTTTTAGTACGCGCGTCGAAATAAATAAATATAAGTGCAAATAAATAGACTCTTGAACTGTAGTGATATATAAATAATTAGTAGTTAAGTGTTTAGTTAGTTTTATAGTGTTTTAAGTGTAGTTAAGTTATTAAATAAATAGTTTAGTTCATTAATTAACCAGTGCGTGTTTTAATTCACACTACGAACAGTTAAAACGTTACAAAGAGAAAGCCCTAGTATTGCATTTTTAATACCGTAGAGTGGGGTTACTTGGAACTGTGGGGTATCTTGGAACAAAACTTCGGTTTTGCAACATTAACCCTAAATCTGGCAACAAAGCTTTAAAAACCGCGCGTTCTCAACAGGTGCCGGCTTGTTACATATGCATATTTCATTTTTTTTAATACTTTGCCTAAAATTATTGGTGTGCTGTGTTTGAATTGATGATTTATTGCCAGGTGAGTTAAATCAACCATAACAAACATAAAAAAACTTCTTTTAAAAGAGCATCTTGGGTTATTACAATTTGAACCGCATTTTATAGGTTAGGTCTCTCATGTGTTAGGGTTACATAGCCTATAAAGGAATTCGGCCATTTTAAGCAGTGTTGCCGGAATTCGTAAACATTTAATTATAACTACAACCAGACATTTCGTTCGAAAACATGGAACACCCGTTCCAAGATTTCAGAACTGTTCCAAGTTTTCGTCAGTATCTTAATTTAAAAAAAGAATTATAAGATTAATAAAAATACACTGCTTTATCTCAAACTAATTCGGTTTTTTAATCTAATTTGTAGCATAATGCCACGACATCACAAAAAAAATCCTTCAGCCCGCCCATATAGAACATATTCCGAAGAAACTCTAAATGAAGCAGTTGAAAAAATAAGAAATAATAAAATTTCTTTACGCCAGGCATGCAAAAAATATAAAATTTCTTTGGGTACACTATCTAGAAAGACCAGAAATAAAAATATGTTAAAGGTGGGACGTCCAACAACACTTTCAGAGGAAGAGGAGAGGCTTATATTAGATGGATTGTATGTTGCAGCAGAATGGGGATTTCCCTTAACAACTCAAGATTTACAGCATGTTATTCATTCCTATCTGGAAAGTTGCGGAAGACGGGAAACCCGTTTTAAACTTAATAAACCTGGAAAAGACTGGGTTTATAATTTCCGCGAAAGACACCCAGAACTTTCAAATCGTTTTGGGCAAAATATAAAAAGAAACCGAGCGGCCGTATCTCCTGAAATGATTTCTGAATATTTTGAAAACTTGGGAAAAGAGTTGGAAGGTTTGGTTCCCCAGGCAATTATAAATTATGACGAGAGTAATTTAACAGACGACCCCGGACGCTCCAAAGTTTTAGTGAAAAAAGGAACAAAGCATGCTGACCGTTGCTTGGATACCTCAAAAATGAGTACATCAATAGTTATAGCCTGTACCGCAAGTGGAGATTTATTACCACCGTATGTCATATATAAAGCTGAACATCTATACGACTCTTGGACAGAAAGGGGCCCGAAAGGTACAAGATTCAACCGAACTAAGTCGGGTTGGCTTGACGCTAAAGTTTTTGATGATTGGTTTATGTCGATAGTGCTTCCGTACTTTAGAAGTTTGGGACCAATTCCAAAAGCACTTATAGGGGACAACCTTTCAAGTCATCTTTCCCCAAATGTAATAAAAAAATGCAAACAGCACACATTTGTGTCAACCGCTAGACGTGTCATTTTTTAGACCATTAAAAGCTGCCTGGAGGAAACAACTGTTAAAATGGAAACTGTCCAATAAGGGTACTATTCCCAAGGCTCAATTTCCATCTCTTCTGAAACAAACCCTGGATAGTTTAAATCACAATCAATCAGAAATAATAAAATCGGGATTTAGAGCCTCTGGAATTTTTCCTCTAGATAAAGAACAAGTGTTAAAAAGGATTCCTAGGTATAAAACAAGTTTAGATGAGTCAGCAGAGTCAGCTTTAACCAGAGCTTTACAAAATCAGCTCCAAACCATGAGGTATGGTGATAAAATACCTTTAAACAGAAAGAAAAAACGAATTCAAGTAGAACCGGGAAAAAGTATAGCAGGACCAAGCAATGAAAACGACGACTCTGAATCAGAATCAGAAACAGAAATGTCCTTACATAATTCGGAATCTTCAGTTGGACAAGAAAGTTTTTCTGATATTGAAAATGAGGATGTCATGGAGCAGAACACTCAAGAGGGAAATGATATTCCAATAGAAAATCAAGTTACCTTTTCCGATATTACAGTGGGTATGTTTGTATTGGTGGAATTTCCTATCATGAATAAGCCCAATAAAGTTAAAAAGTACGTTGGCGAAGTTCTGGAAGTATTGGAAGACGACTGTTTATTTGCCTGTAAATTTTTACGACCAGTAGGAATGACCAAAACCATATTTGCTTATCCAAATACGGAGGATATTGCGGATGTCGAGAAATATCAAATCATCCAAATCCTGGAGAATCCCAAGAAGGGAGAGTGCAAAGTTTATTTTGGTAGTAAAGTAGCTGTTGATATTTAAACTTTTGTTTTTTTATTTGTCTTATGTAGATAATTCGAATAGCTAATGCTTATTAAAACTAAATAATAGTTTATTTTATGCATAACTTGTTAATTTTGTGACATTTTCCTTGATTCAATAAACATTTTTTCACTAAGACAGTTAAATTTTATTTTGTTTTCGTACTAGAAGCAGGATTTTATTTTATTTTTAATTTAAAAGCCTTCTAAGATGCTCTTCTGCAGTTATTTTTAATTTAAATGCGTTTCAAAATGCCCTATGCATTTATTTTTAATTTAAAAGCGTTCCAAGTTGCCCTTCTGCAGTAAAACATGGAAACATTATAAAAATATACATCTGTTCCAAGTTATCAGAATGAAGGGAAACTTGGAACACTAACATTTTTTTTTTTTTAATTCTATAGCTTTCGTAAATTTTAAATTTGAAGTATATATATGAATTTAATAGGTACTCGTACACACTTTCTCATTTTAATATCGAAAAAAATGCTTTTTGTTGTTTATTTATGTGACTTTTTTTATAAAAAGTGTTCCAAGTAACCCCACTCTATCTTTTTTTGCTATAGGTTTAGTATAATTTATAATATATTCTCTAAAGCTATTGACTTCTAGTAAATTTAAAATAACACTAATAAATGGCAAACAAATTTAAATTAATATTAATGTGTGGCCTTTTTTAATATTACACTTTTTAAAAATTAAATTTCCTAAAACAAAACAAAAATTATTAGCATTATTGAGCTTTAATCTGCAACATTTTGGAAAACCTTTTTACTAGAGGACCCTTAATCTGCAGTCTAAATAGAATTTTTCTTACAACTCCTTTAATCCCTTTGCTACTACCATTTTGTTTTATTTTAGAACGTTTTTAATTTTGATTGGTTTTATTTTTTTCCAAGTACTTTTTAGGAAACGTGTCTTGAAAATATCGCACTAAAGCCATACGATGCAATAAAAAAACTAGATATTAAGCATTTAAGTTATAAAATATTTCACATTTTTTAAAATCATAAAAGAAATGTTTGTGATTCACATTTTTGTAATACTATATAAATATATAAATTGTTCTTTAGATTTGCAAACTGCAAATCAGTGGGACAATCCAGTGAAGGTGGTTCCCAAACTGTTTCATCAAATGGTAGCAGTACCCAACACATTTACGCCAATCAGCCTATGAGTTCCTCTTACGTCGACAATTCCGCTGTAAGTAGCACCGATTTAAAACCACCAGCCTTACTTGAACCAAAACGTTTTCAGAGTAACGCCAACTATGTCGAGATCGACCAAATCTACCCTCTTACAAATCAAGACAGCCCCTCCTCGACCTACAATCGCACGAATTCGCCGATCTATCAGAACAATTTGCCCAGGAACAATCAAGAAACGACGCCCATCTACAGCAACGCAAACATAGAGAGATTTAGAAACGACGAATCTTTGGCCCATCATTTAAGATATAGTTTGGGGAGGGACGAAAATTCGCAAGGTATTTTTATAAACTTTTGTTTTTTAGATGGACACGTTTTGAACTGTATAAAATTATTTATTTGTCATAAGGCTGAGAAGTGAGTCTTTATGGCATACAATGTTTTATCTTCAAGGCTCAATTTTATTTGTTAAACAATACATAAAACATACAATTATAATAATAATTATTAGAGAAGGGTGCACTTAAAGCACTTAAAAGTGCATTATAAATGCTCGATATTTGAATTTACCGCCAAAACTAAATCTGGTTATTTTAAAAATACTCACAAAAATGCTTGAAAAGTGCTTAAAAGCTCTCGAGCGCTTTTAAAAATACTTGAGCATTTTAAAAAGTACTTGATATTTGCATTTCCCGCCCTAACAACACTAAACACAATTGTACATAGTTGGTTTTTGTGGCTTGTGAAAATGTCAAAAACATTATTTTATAAGAATAAATTTATATTTTATTTATATTCTTATATCTGATAAAATCAATTTAAATTTCCTGGTAATTTTTAATATAACTTTGTAATGCATAAAAAAAAATCAAATATTAAGTGTTGAAAAAAAACCTGAAAAATTGGGAAAAAACTGTTTTTTTGTCTTTTTTGGGAAAAATTAAATTTTTTTTTGTTGGAAAATATACAATTAAAAAAAATATTTTAATTTTAAAAAAATATTATTTAATACAAAAAAATAAAACACTGAATTAAATTGATTTAAATCTTTTTTGCAAAGGGGATATCCAACTACAAAAAAATTAAAATTACAAAATTATAAGTTTATAAATCAAAGTGTCAAATAAAAATTATGTTAATACAGCACCGAATATGTTTTTTTTCGGCCCGGTAGAATATTCTTACCGAATTAAAAGAAATAATTAGTATAATCATAATATTGTGATTATAATCAGCGTCAGAAATTCACTCCCCGTCTACAAGGGCCCCCAAATCTTAAGTAGTCTTTCTCAGTCCAACAAAAAACTATCTAAAATTTAGGGTTTTAAAATTACCGGAAAAATAGAGCCGGCGGAAAAAAACCGGTTTTGTACGGAAAAAAATTGGTAAATTTTCAGAAAAATTGACTTGCATTTTTCTCATTTTACTCAAAGGGCAGTGGCGTATTTAGGGGGGGGTCCGCCGGGTGCGGACCCCCCCCGGGCGCACATATTTTATTATTTTTATTACAAAAAAAAGTTAAAAAAAAAAACCTCAAGACTGTCAACGTACTTTATTATTTATTAATTATATTTAAATATAAAATCATTAAAATCAAAAATCAACTACTTACGTATTAAAGAGAAAGAGGTGGTTTGGCAACCCTGTAGGTATATCGTTCCTACCTCTTTCTCGTGTCGTTATGATCGAGGCGCGAACAGAAATAGAACTATACCATGAATAGATAGTTATTAAAGCATAGCATAGTACATATTTAGTTAGTTTTTTTGGACCCCCCCCCGGAGCTAAATCCTAAATACGCCACTGTCAAAGGGTAATACGAAAAAATGCAAAAGTCAATTTTTCTAAAAATTTACAAATTTTTACAGATATGTAGGTACTATCCGTACACTGATATCGAGAAAAAAGTGAATTTCCGACGCTGAATATAATCATATCATTTTCTTAAATCAATTTAATTTAATTCAATGTTTAGTTTTTTTTTATTTGTTGATTGCTACTTTTGTCAAATGTAGGTAGGGTTGGGATTTTGACTGGTCAAAATCTTTTGAGGTCAATTGACTGAGCACCGGTCAAATTCCTTAGTTTTTTCTAAAGAAATGATGGCATGAGTAAAATTACTTAATTTTAAATAGAAACGTATATTTATTGAAAAACAACAAAAAATAAAGAAACCACTCTGAGGTACAAAAAAACATTCATAAAATCATTGTTTTTAAGAACATTCACGTCTAGCTCGCAGCAGAGCAGCAACAGCTGCCCAGCAGATAAGACCTGAAGATGGTACATGAGATTCTTTTAAGAACCAAAAACCGACAGCACGGTTCTAGCATGTGTAGATAACGCCACCCTCGCCATTGTCTTTACTCTCTTAAAATTAATTAGTCAAAATACTATTTAAAAAGCATTATTATGATTGCACCATGGTCCACCACCGAACATTTTTTTAATACTTTTGATATTTTCCGCTAAGTAGCGCCGCCGCGCGCGGTTGAATTAAAAGTTTTTGACCGATTTTGACATGGTCAAAATGTCTCATGTCAAAATAGGTAAATATCTCGGTCAATTGACCAGGCACAACCCTAAATGTAGGTATATATTTTTCAAAAAAAAAATTCAATTTTTCCCAAAAAAGACATTTTTTCCCAAAAAATACATGTTTCCCCAAAAAATACATTTTTTTAGGGCCTGGTTTTTTTTTCAATTTTTTAGGTTTTTTTTTCGACACTTTAAATCCCTAGTATAGGTATAAATATTTCAGGACCCAGCTTTACCATAAAATATAAACTGAAGTTCAAATATAAGTATACTTATAAGTTAGCTGGAAAAAGCTTGTAATCAATTTTCATATTCCTAATTACAGAGTGTTGCAAAGGACTTGCTAAGAGGATCTACTAACAAATTTAAAATAACAAAACATTAATATTTACAAAACAATCACATTATTTCATAAGCAGACTAGGGGCCCCATTTTATTTTATCGCCCCGGGCCCCCGACGGTTTAGTCCGCCACTGAAATAATTTAAAAAATTTTAGAAAAATTGACTTTTGCATTTGTATGTATTAGGTTTTCTTTAAATAAAATTTAAAAGTCAATTTTTCAGGAAAAAAATTTTTTTCCCCGCCCGAGTTTTGACATTTTTTTAAATTTATAGAACCTTCAGAAGAGTTGCCACTGCCACCTGGGTGGTCAGTGGACTACACCATGCGAGGGCGTAAATATTACATTGACCACAACACCAAAACGACCCATTGGTCGCATCCCTTGGAAAGGGAGGGTCTTCCCACAGGGTGGCAATGTATTCAATCTCCACACTACGGTATTTACTATGTTAAGTAATGAAATTCTTTAATAGTTTAATTTCACAAGATTTATAAAAACATTTTTAATAGTCACATAACCAGACAAGCACAGTACCAACACCCCTGCCTGATGCCATGCTACAATTACCAACCTGAAGTTAGGTACTTAAACCCTCCAAGACCCACACACTATCAACCACACAGTGTTTTAGTACCTGCGAATCCGTACTTGTTGGAGGAAATACCGCATTGGCTTAATGTGTACTTCCAAAGTAAGTACAAAGATTCCTATTCTTATGTTAATATACAGGGTGTCCCGGAAATGTTGAGAACAAAATTTAAATAAAATAATAATTTTTTAAGTTGGACTTTCAAAAATAAAAAAAAGGTTTTTGATTAATAATTTTTAAACAATAAAGGGTGAACATCCAATTTTGGAAATTTATGCTGTCCTACCATTTTTTAAATTTATCCTTCTGTGCGAATTTTTCTTACTCAAATCGTCCATAAACCTCGTGACGCTAAAAATGAAAAAATGGGCAATTTCATTCGATTTATTTTCTCACCTGACATTTTAATAAACCTTCCCCTCCTCGGGCGTGATAAATGACATAACCTCTGCGTCTTCATGCTCTCCTGGTAGTTAAAACCATTTAGAACCAATTATGTTACCTTCTGATTGGGGATGGCAGATTGAAATTATTTTTTAGATATGATATCAATATACCCATTTGTTTGCAACTTACCCCTGTAAAATCTTTATTTATTGTGCGATTTTAACCGGATTTGTTTTAAAGTGTAGATCTTGATAAACTGTATTTTTGGAGCAACGCCATATTTGTACAAAATACAAGGGCTACTATGTCAGTTTTTAAGAGTAAATTTTTAAGAATTCATATTGGCGATTTTTTTTTTACAAAATCCAAGCACTGCACTGGATTCACCACCCCTTACAACGACCCTTTACTAAATTTTATTGAAAAATTGTAAGTTGCACAATAATAACTACACAAATTTATTCTGTCAAGTTATCCATGAAAAAACATTGAAATAAAATTAAACTCGTAGTAATAGTACCATGTTACTATTAGTTTAATTTTATTTCAATGTTTTTTTCATGGACAAAATAAATTTGTGTGGATCGTTTTGAGGGGTGGTGAATCCAGTACTATGCTTAGATTTTGTTTAAAAAAATCGCTAATATGAATTCTTAAAAATTTACTCTTAAAAACTGACATAGTAGGCCTTGTATTTTGTAAAAATATGACGTTTTATGCTTCAAAAATACAGTTTATCAAAATCTACACTTAAAAAAAAACGGTTAAAATCGCAAAATAAATATAAATTTTACAGGGGTGAGTCGCAAACAAATGGGTCACACTGTATATCCTAAGAAATATATTGATTTATGAAATATATCTCTGTAGTGGTAAAATTAACTTTTATTGAGTTGAGGCTTCGCTTTTGATATAAAAGCTTTTTTTATGCATAAAAAAAGTTTCCAAAACAGACCATCGTCTATGGTTTCCAATAAAAAAATGTTATACATTTATTTAACCAACCAAAATAATATTATTTATTTTAAAAATACCAAAACGAAAAACATAATTATTATCAATAATTATTATTACATATTTTAAGGTTGATATTAACAGAAGATATTTATTTCTAATAAAATTTACAATTAACAATATTAACACCTATCTTTTAATTAATTAAGGTTCTCAAAGACAAGTTGCCTATAAAAAAACGCTTAAATTACAAAAAAAAATAGTAAAATAAAAAATATATACGTTTTTATACCGATAATTTAAAAATTTATCGATATCGTTTTCGATATATCTAAAAATATATATCAATATTTTTACATTGAAAAATATATATCCATATAAAAAAATATCGTTATATTATTGTCATCCCTACTCCTGATCTTTAAAAAACCGTTTAAAACCTAAATTCGATGTTTTTTTAAATTTTATTTTGGTTTTAACTGTCCTGTACACTTGCTTCCAAATAATAAGTACACTTATAAACTATATATTTTAATAACATTTTGGTCCATGAAAGTATAATAAATAAACAAAAATAATTTAGATTCCTAATCATCACCATGTGCTGGTGACGGAGACTAGCGATTTTTTATATTTTGTAGTCATTTAAGAAATTCTTTTTAAGTTTTTCTTATATATTTTTTATTGATTGGGGTAACATGTTATAAATTTCCACTCTACAATTTATTAAACTATTTAAACCTATATTAAAATGTGTATTTGTTAAGTAAATTTTGATTTGATTTCTATGATTTGTTTTTTAATTTTTAATGATTGTTTTATGCACTAATTAGTTCATTAGTGCATAAAATATTAACCTTGTTCAATTTTTTTAGTTTTTAGTGGCTTAATAGTTATTTTTTTGTATATTTCTTTGGTTGCTGTTAGATTTGGAATATTAAATATTATGTTTTCCTGGCGTTTTTTATTTTATGTGACGTCACTTCCATAGCCTGCTAAAATTTTATTTTCAAGGAGCCAAAAGAAGTAAAACTTCTTGTTATATTGTAAAGGAAAGATTTAAAAAAATTAAATGTGTAGCTTTTACCAAACTCTTTTCTTAGGTTTTTTTTTTGTTTTGATTAGTCCACCTTGAAACTTCTCAAATACTTAACTTTAATAAAATATTTTAATAAAAAATGATTTTTAACTTGACAACTAAAATTGTAATTTTTAAAGAAATATATCTTTTCAGCAAGTACTGATTTGGACCACAAACTGAGGTGGGACATGTTTCGTTTGTCTGAACTAGACTGCTATAATGCCATGCTTACTAGATTATACAAACAAGAATTGCAAAATATAGTTATGAGATATGAATCTTATAGGTAAGCAAATAAAAACTGATTCTAATATTAAAATAAAACATAAATATTTTTTTAGATCTGCTTTGTTAGTTGAAATGGAAAATTTCCGAGCAAATCGAAATAATCCCAGGGCTGTGACTGGAGAGTGAAAGTTCCTTAATTTATTTATCTATACTATAATTATTAAAATAATAAATTACATTTATTTTCTTTGCAAGTCTTCTTCACTATTGTGAATTTCGTATTTATTTGCACTGAATCCCTTAACAGTATACACTGTTGCATCTTTTATTCCAAGCGTTTTTGCCCATCTTTGTGCTAAAATTAAATGCTTTATTTTTTACGTTTTGCTGTTTTATTTTAAACATTACCTGGTGTCATTGCGAGCTCTTCTTCTGATTTCAGTCCATAGTATTTTGCCCAATCTCCCTTTCCTTTATAAAACATAAAACAAACTAAACCGAATGCATTCCAAGCTATTAACATATAAGCAATTGAAAGTCTATTTTTCCATACTGCTGCTCTGTTTTCAGGGATGGGATTTGTATTGCGCCTTACAAAACGCCTCAACCATAAGAATCTAAACATTGACATTTCAAAAATTGTTTTGAATTACATAAAATATTTAAGGTTATGCATAGATTATAAAAGGTTATGAACAAAAAAGTTTCACCGTGACAGGAACGATTCCTGTTTTATCGTCGGTAAAACAAAATGGCGAACATCTAAAAAATTACGAAATTTGAAGTCTTGTCAAAATTTGAAATACATTAACAATTCATTTTCAAAAATAATGTACTAAATTTACAGTGAAACTTTCATACTTTTTAGCTATTGTGAGTATATTTTATTTCATAAAATAATCATCAAGCTTCTAAATTATTTAAAATATGTTACCTTTAAAGGAAAAAATTAGCATGAGTTTAAAGGCAACAATTTTTCGTATTCATAAATGAATAACGTCGTTTGCATTTTAGTTACTAATATTAAGATCATCATGGACAGCACAGTAGGAGACAACTTGCAAGTAATCCCATCAAAAACATCCCAAACTCAAACAATATTCCCTCACGACCTAATCGTTACAGAACCGAAATCCGAACGGTAAGATTTGTGTTATTTTTGTGCATGTTTAGCCTTTAAGTGCATGTCTTCTAGAAATGCAAAACCCTGGCCATCGTATTTATGGGATGATTTGTCATGTGGCATAAAAATGAAGCAGTTTTCATATGATGATCATCAAGACTCCCTGATAGAGATTTGCCCCCCTGAAAGGTTTTTTGATTTTATTTTTCTGTTTTAATACCAATAATCTTTAATTATTTTAATAATTTATTAATACACATTAATGATATTTCAATACAAACATTACTAGAATAGTGATGATAGATATGGTATTTAAAAATATTTTGTGTAGGTACTTTCTATTTTAAGCCCAAACAAAATATTTCCCAAAAACATCAGAACTGATCTAAATCCAAAACGCTGCTTAAAAAAGTCTTAGAAAAGTTTTGTTTGTATGCAAACAAATAATTTTATTTTGATAGTTCACAAAAATATACATGGTTTCCCAAAAATGGTTATTCCAAAGGTTTTAAGCCCAAACAAAATATTTCCTTAAATACCATAATGGATCTAAATCCAAAAGTTTTGTTTGTATGTAAACAAATATTATTTTGATAGTTCACATAAATATATTTTTTATTCCTAGGAATAGCTATACATACATGGTTTCCCAAAAATTATTATTCCAAAGGTTTTTTTAGTATTAAGATTTTAAAAATTTATTTTTATCATTATTGTTTTAAAAATAAAAAGTTATGGAAGTTTTTATTTTTATCAAAATAAAATACATCTGTCAACCATGTCAGCCCCAATTTCCTACATGTGGTTTCTAAAGACAAAAATAGGAAAAAATTTTTTTATAAACAGGTTGGCATACAGCTTCTTAAAGGGGCGCCCCTAAAGATGGTTTTTTATTATTATTTTTGAAACGTTTTGAGATAAAATGATGAAATTTGTTTTGCTTTCTTTACTTTTTATGCTGAATTTAAAAATAAAAAAATTTAAAATTGTTATCTATGAGTGTATTAAACGGGCCAAATTTTTGTGTGTAATTTTTTTCAAGTTGCCTTCAAAATATAAAAATTAAGAGTTTTCTACATATCAAAGTTACTCTTGTTGAAAATCGAAAAAATACACCCTTTTTGAATTAAATTAAAATAACAAATTTCAGATAACAATTGTCTTTTTTCTTTTTCAATTTAATGTATCTAAAAAGAAATATTAATCCAAAAAATACATTATTTTACCTTAAACCGTTTCAGAATTAATAATAAAACATTTTCAGGGACCATTTGCCGACCTTTGTTCATTTAAAGTTTTTTCCCCATTTGTTTCCCCTAAAAACCTCTTGTAAAGTATACCTAGGGTTGTGGAATTGACCGATCAAATTGTTTTTGGTCAAAATAAAATTAAATAAAATATCAAAATAAATATTACTGTGATTTATTTGTGTAATAGGTAATTAAAATACGTTACCAAATTTTTTTTATTATAAAAGTTATGTCCATCTTTATGTTATGTTATGTTTTGCTATTAAAAAAGATATGTCCCGCTTTCAAGGCAAAGCGCCGAGTCCGGCCTAGCAACCCCTCGACTCGGGGAACCACCAAATTGTAAATGATGTCGATATTGCACGATCGCAAAATTTTTGAGATTCACGGGTAATTGTTGATACCTTAATAAAATTCTGCAAAAATTAAATATATTTTGACCGGTCAAATAGGTAGCGGTCATGTGACCATACCCAACTCTAAGTATACCACACTCTGTATAGACCATAATTCTACATTTAGTATCATGGTATACAAGATACCTAAGTGTTATTATTTGCATTGGTATTATTTCTGCTTATAAAACACAGAGATTTGGATTTATAAGGTTTTTTAATTTTATTATTCTTTAATCCTATTAGATTTGACTTAAATTTCCAATAATACTATTTAGCCATTTTATAATTTATTAATTCATATTTCAATATTAACAATGTATCTACTGCTATTGCATAATATTAGAGTTTTTTCGTATATACTGATAACAACGGGAATAATGAACTCATTATTCTCAATGCAAGGCATTAAGAATTGACCAACTTCAATATTCACTGTGATTTGAACCAATCGCGTTTTAAATTGAGAGAAGGCGACTGTATAATAATATTTAAAATTTGTAGAAAGTGAAGTTAACCATCCGACATATTTTATTTATTTTTTAAATCATTTAATTATCTACTAACTGGATTGGGGTAGTATAGTATAGTATTACATTTGCGATTTACATCTCTCGCCTGGCTCGAGATGTAAACCTCATCCTCGTGAATAATAGCTTGCATTAATAAACATGACTGAATCTATATTAAATCTAAATAAACATATAAAGCTCTCAAATATTTTGTGTACATTCTATTTTAAGCCCAAACAAAATATTTCATAGAACACAATTCATGCCAAACAATAATTTAAAATTCTATGAAAGCATTTTATAGGCTGTAACTCTGTCTAGAACTTAAAAAATCTCATAATCAGTTGTTTGCCCTATTTTGATGTGTCTGCATGTTTTTTGTAATTTGATATGACAATTCTTGTTTGATGTTCCTTCAAAGTTTTGTTTGTTTGTATGCGGAAAAATACAAATTGATAAGTTTGTTTTGATAGTTGTTTTATCTATTAACATAGCTTTGACATAACGTGTATTTCGGTTAATTAACTGCGTGTATAAATGATGTAAGTTAAAATTAATATTGTTATGCTTTAATTTTCTGTCTGATTATTATGATATCCTGGAAAAATTAGAATTACAGATGTATATTGTAACTGTACATAATAATAAATATAAATTCATTTTATTTTATGGTTTTCACTTCGATTAAAGGAACTGTAAAAAATATTGGGTGTAGTATGGAAAACCCAAGCAAATGTTTAAAAATATTTTTCTTCATAATTGAAGGGGTTAGAATAGAAAGGGTATAAGTGCAATTTCTTTAATTTAGGAGATAAGTTCGTTTTGTGAAAGATAAGGTTCCGACGTATCGAAATGAAAAGGATTTAAGTAATTTTCATACTTCTAGGGACCTCTATTATCCAGTAGAAAAACATTACTAAACAAAATTCTTCACTTTTTTATGGTAACATAACTTTAACTTCAAATATCTCCAAAAAATGAAAATGTTACTTATACCCTTTTTATTCTAACCCCTTCAATTAACTTTGGCCCCTATATATTTTTTAAATCTTGTTTTTTTAAGGTACATAGGTATTTTAATTTTTAGAAATCGGTTTTGATGAGGAGTTTTTGAGTTTTAATGTTTTTAAAAATGTATTGTTTTTTTAATATTTTAACGTTTTATATCGGATTATTTCTTTTTTTAATGACGTTTTTGTTAATAAAAACAAGGTTATACTAATTTATAGTTTTTCTTTTTGACATAAACTGTCAGAAAATAAATGTCAACCCCAAGCAGCCTTGGATGTGTAATATTTTAAATTACTTATTAGAGAAACATCGTTGACAAGTTAAAAAATACGTTCAAAACTTCTCGTCCGATTTTTTGTTACAATTAGTACGTTATTTTCTGGATACCCTGTATATTAGTTGAGTAATTTAGTTTTTAATTTATTACGAAAAATCAACAAGAAAATTCCGACCTCGGATTCGGATTCAACGGCAAAAATATTTATAGAAATTCACCCCTCTGGTTTGTACATGTAAAAATAGTGTGGGTGGACCATAATGATAGTACTCCTTACAGCCCCTTTCTCACCGCAAAGGGGCCTTCCATAAATCTCTTGACGCTAAACATAGTCAAAATTTAGCTCGTGACAGAATGAGACGATATAAAGACATCCCCCCCCCTAAGGTTAATGTGACGAATTATTAAACTCCCCTACCCCCTACAAATATTTTTTAGATTCTTTTTTGTGATAATTTGACTAAAAATGAAAAATCTTTGTTCTGACGTTTTAAAAAACCTTTCCCCCAGCGTCGAGAGATTTATGGACGACCCCAAAGTATTGGGCCCAGTTGACCAAAAGAGCCCATTTCTATGTATTTTTTACGAAAAAAAACCTGAGAGTGATAGCGAAATTCCAATCACGGATTCGGATTCAGCGACCCAAAATCCATAAGATGTGACCTCAATAGTTTGTTGGACATTCTACTTTTTAGTGGGGCTGCAAAACTGTTTAAAATAACTTAAACAGTTCAAAAAATTATATTACTTTTTTACCATAATATCAACTCTAGAGGTATTTTTAAGGAAATTGATTATTTTTCAGTGATTAAACTATATTAGTTATAGATACAGTTTTAATTACATAATCTGTTAATTTATGAAACTTAAGTTAAATTAATTAGTACCTATCAGTTTCGACCTATATATTTCCAAGGCTCTTACTGTGAAGAGCTACTAATTATGTTAGCCATAATACCAACAAAACTTTACAAACACATTAACGCAACTTTAAATTGCTCAGGTGGATATCTAGCATCTGGTGCCAGCCGGTATTCATGTATTAACACGACCCGTTTTGTTGTGTAAAATCGATTTTCTTATAATATTTTGAATAAATTAGGAACATGCATTTATTTATATTAAGTATGCAAATTACGAAATTAAAAATAATAACGTTATATTGATTAACAGGAAGTGAATGTTTACTGAATCACCAAGCCCAAACGAAACGTTAATTTAATTTTTCATTCCAAACACGCATATATATTAGACTGGGCCAAAAAAATCAACTATTTTTTTTTTTGAAAAGTATATCGAAAATATGGTTTGGGGTGACAAAAAAAAATTATTGTTAAAGTTTGAGTCAATATTATTAATATTAAGAGGTCTATCATCGCAATTTTAGGTTTTTTTTTCCTGAGCGAGTTTTTGTCTCAGAACTCCCAAAACATTGAGTTTAACAAAATTGACTTAAGAATATTTTTTGAAGAAAATTGAATGTTCTACAAAAAAGGTTAAATTGGAATTTCCCGTCAGATGAACCGTTTTCTTACAATCATGCCTTAAAAATTGGTTTAGTTTTACAATTTGATCTTTTAACTTTGGAATTTTGTAATTAATGTAAAAATCAGTACCCTGAAAAAAAAACGATAAATATTCTTATGGAAAATCAAATGCTCTACAAAAAAAGTCTTTTATCATTTTTGGCTAAATTCACTCAATCAAAAGTTATTCAAGGTTAAATTTGAACTCAAAACGAAAT